GCAGCGCGTCCTCGGCCACGCCGGACGCGTCGAGCGCCCGCTGGATCGCCGCGCCGGCCACCCGCACGCAGCGCGGGTCTGCGGCGCCGGCTTGATCAGCACGGGCGACCCGGCCGCGAGCGCCGCGAGCACCGACCCGACCGGGATGGCGACCGGGAAGTTCCACGGCGGGGGTGACGACGGTGACGCCGCGGGGCCGGAACACCGCGCCCGGGACGTGCCCGTCGGCGAGCTCCTCGGCACGGTCCGCGTAGTACCGGGCGAAGTCGACGGCCTCGCTGACCTCGGGGTCGGCCTCGGCGACGGTCTTGCCGGCCTCGTGCACCATCGTGGCGACCAGGTCGCCGCGGGCGGCCTCGAGCTCGTCGGCCGCGCGGCGCAGCACGGCGGCGCGCTCGGCCGGGGTGCGGGCGGACCAGGCGGGCGCGGCGGCGACGGCGCGCGCGACGACGGCGTCCACCTCGTCCTCGGTCCCCACCTCGACCGCGCCGGCGGGCGGCTCGACGTCCGCGGCGACCAGGCGCGCGGCCCAGTCCCGGGACTCGGCGACGGCCGGGTCGGTGTCGGCGGCGTTCCGGAACGTGCCCGGCTCGGGCGCCAGGGCGGCGACGTCGCGCGGCAGGCGCCGGCGACCCGTCGGGACGCGGTCCGCGCCGGCGACCGACGCCAGGAACGCGTCCTCCTGCGAGCCGATGCCCTCGTCCGGGCCGTCCCCGCCGGCGAACAGCGCGTGCAGGAAGTTCTGGTGCGCGGCGTTCTCCTCGAGGCGGCGGACCAGGTACGAGATCGCGACGTCGAAGTCCTGCTTCGCGACGACCGGGGTGTACAGCAGCACCTGGCCGACCTCGCGCTGCACGGCGCGGGCCTGCGCGGGCGCCATGCCCTGCAGCATCTCGATGTCGAGCGCCTCCGACACCCCGCGGTGCTCGGCGAGCAGGTGGGCGTAGGCGACGTGGAACAGGTTGTGGCTCGCGACGCCGACGCGCAGCGCGGACGTCCGTGCCGGGTCGAGCGCGCGGCGGACCAGGCGGACGTAGTGCGCGTCGACCTCGGGCTTGTCGCCGTACGGCGCCTGCGCCCAGCCGTGCAGCTCCGCCTCGACCTTCTCCATGGCGAGGTTCGCGCCCTTGACCAGCCGCACCTTGAGCCGGGCGCCACCCGCCTCGACCCGGCGCCGGGCGATCGCGGTCACCTCCTCCAGCGCCTCGGAGGTGTCGGGCAGGTACGCCTGCAGCACGATGCCCATCTCGGCGCCGCGCACCTCCGGGTCGTTCACCAGCTCGTCGAACACCCGCACGGTCAGCGCGAGGTCGCGGTACTCCTCCATGTCGAGGTTGAGGAACGTGCCCTGCGCCGCGGCGGCGCGGGTACAGCGGCCGCAGCCGCTCGACGACGCGCCGCACGCTGCCCTCGGTGTCCCAGGTCGACAGCTGGCTGGCGACCGCGGACACCTTGATCGACACGTAGTCGACGTCGGGACGGGCGAGCAGCTCGGAGACCCGCTGCAGCCGACGGTTCGCCTCGTCCTCGCCGAGCACGGCCTCGCCCAGCAGGTTGAGGTTGAGCCGGAAGCCCTCCTTGCGGGCGCGCGCCAGGTGCGGGCCCAGGCCCGGGCCGGCGTCGGCGACCAGGTGGCCGACGAGCTGCCGGAGCCGGATCCGCGCCGCGGGCACGACGGCGGACGGCAGCAGCGGGGCGACCTTGGCGCCGATCCCGAGCAGCAGGCGGTCGCCCCGCGCCGAGGAACGCCGACGCGTCGGCCGCGCGGTCGCCGAGGTCGGCGAGCTCGGCGGCCGCGACCCGGGCGTCCTCGGGGCGCGCGACGCGGTCGACGAACCGCACGGCCAGCTCCAGGCCCGCGGGGTCGGCGACCAGGGCGGCCAGCCGGCCGGTGGCGCGCCGCTCGGCGGGGGTCTCGTCGGCGGCGGTCGCGTCCATCCAGCGGTGCGCGAGGTCCACCGCGTCCCGGGTCAGGTGCTCCGGGACGGGGTGGTGGCGGCGCTGTCGGCGGCGGCCGGGTCGTGGGTCGTCGTCATGGCGGGATCCTCCCCGAGCGGCCCGCGGCCCGTCTTGCACCGATCGGCCGGGCCACCGGGCCGGATCCGTGACACGTGCCCGTCACGCGCACCACCTACGCTGCCCCCGACATGGAACGCCGTCCAGCCCACCTCGCCGCCGCGGCCGCCGCCGGCGCCGCCGACCCCGGGGCGCCCGCCGCCCCCGCCGCGCCCGCCGGCGACCCCGCGGCGCCCGACGCCCCCGCCCGCGCCCTGCTCCGCGCGCTCACGCCCGCCCTGCTGCGGCTCTGCGACGACCTGACCGGCACGATGTTCTGCGCCAAGGACGTCGCGGGGCGGTACGTCGTGGTCAACGACGCGTTCGTGCGCCGCACCCCCCGAGCGCTCGCGCCGCGCCGTCGTCGGCCGGACCGCCGCGGAGCTGTTCCTCCCGCACCTCGCGGAGAAGTACGACGCCCAGGACCGCGACGTGCTCGCGACCGGCCGGGCGCTGCACCGGGAGCTCGAGCTCATCCGCCGGCCCGGCGGCCCGCCCGGCTGGTACCTGACGTCCAAGGAGCCGGTCCGCGACGCGTCGGGCGCCGTCGTCGGGCTGGTGTCGATCTCCCAGGCGCTCCGCGCGGGCGACGCCGACGCGGAGACGGTGGCCGCGCTGTCCCGGGTCGCCGCGTTCGTGCACGGCCGGCTCGCGGAGCCCCCGACCGTCGCCGAGCTCGCCGAGGCGGCCGGCTGCTCGGCGTCGACGCTCGACCGCCGGGTCCGCCGCGTGTACGCGCTGTCCCCGCAGCAGTAACCCTCAAAAATAATTACTGATCGTGGATCAGCATTCACTTCTAAAGCTTTCACAGATTTCTTAGAATCTCAGAATATCACTCATATCTTAATTGCTACAGGTGTACCACGCACAAACGGTCAAATCGAGCGATTTAATCGTTTTATTATTCCCATGGTTGCCAAATTGACAGAAACTCCTGACCGTTGGGATCAAGTTTTAAATCAGGTAGAATTTGCTATAAACAACACCGTAAATAGATCTACAGGTCAGACACCAGCCAAACTGCTATTTGGAATGAACCAAGTAGGCAAGATTAATGATGATTTGACATTTTTTCTCTCATTTATTAATAAAAACTTTGAAGATATTCATAAATTAAGGCAAGAGGCAAGTCAAAAAATAGAGCGAAACCAAGAATACAATAAAACTTACTATGACCAACGACATAAAGAAGCTAAGTTGTATGACATTGGCGATTATGTGGTAATACCGAACGTTGACGTTACTCCTGGAATTAACAAAAAATTACTGCCAAAATTTAAAGGCCCTTATGTGATTAAAAAAATATTACCTAACGAACGATACGTTATTACTGATATAGACGGATTTCAGGTCACTCAAAGACCTTTTGAGGGTATCTTTAGTGCTGATCATATTCGCCTTTGGGCGAAATCTCCAGAATAAAATATTATGATGTTCGATACTTAATATTTCTACTATTGTTTTTTTTATGCCTTCCTTCTTTCTGTTATTATTATGATGAAATAATTTATGTGTATTATGGTAGTATGATATTTTTGAAATTAAAACCTTATGTTTATGTCTTATGAAACTATTATGATGATTATGCCTTATGTATTTATGAACCTCTGACCTTATGACCAGTTATGATTTTATGTCCATTCAGGAATTTATGTATACTTGATTATGAATTTATGTATAATTATGAACTTATCTAAAAAAAAAAAAAAAAAACCTTATGTTGTAAATTTATGTTATGCATTATGTTAGCTTAATATGTAATATTCTTACATCACATTTTTATGTAATATTCTTATGTCTTAGTCTTATGCTATTTTTTTTATATATATATCTTTTCATATTATTTTGTACTTTGCAATCTTTGTTAGTATTGTGCATACACTCATTTCTTTACCAAAGCGAGGACGCTTTGAAGGTCAGGACGACCGAGTTGTAAGCAATTTAGCAATTTCCTTACTTTCATAGTGTTTATCCTATCTGTGCGCCATATTGAAGCATCCATTAGGTTATGTAGCAACCATAAAGGTAGCAACCCTGTCCTGTGACGTAATAGAAATGTCATTTATGAATGACATTTCTGACTTTTGACACAGACCAGGTTTTTTCTAGAATCAAGAAGAACAACAACCACGTGCCACGAAACAAACCGTTAATCGCCAGTTTTTCCAATAAAAGTTAATTAAAATAGAATCGCAACTTCTTTTATTTTGTAAACTAACATCGCCGGCCTTCCCTACAATAGAATTATTTTCGCATTATCTGGAATAACTTCACTTCCAAATGAAAATATGGCTTGAAATACGCGTTTAACCATCAAATTCAAGCATAAAACAATGGAAAAACCATTCCTAACGAATGTTTTGATCGAAACTGGTGATTATTTTCATCAAGTTCATTTCCTGGCGTATTTTTGATTGAAAACCGCATTAAAGACGGCAAAACAACTCAAATTCTTCTTAAAATTGCACTTTAGACTGTGTCTCTATCAAAAAAGTAAATTTTTTCGAAATTATTGTGAGAAAGAATTATTTTCGCATTATCTGGAATAACTTCACTTCCAAATGAAAATATGGCTTGAAATACGCGTTTAACCATCAAATTCAAGCTTAAAACAATGGAAAAACCATTCCTAACGAATGTTTTGATCGAAAACGTGATTATTTTTATCAAGTTCATTTCCTGGCGTATTTTTGATTGAAAACCGAATTAAAGACGGCAAAACAACTCAAATTCTTCTTAAAATTGCATTTTAGACTGTTTCTCTATCAAAAAAGTAAATTTTTTCGAAATTATTGTGAGATAGAATTATTTTCGCATTATCTGGAATAACTTCACTTCCAAATGAAAATATGGCTTGAAATACGCGTTTAACCATCAAATTCAAGCATAAAACAATGGAAAAACCATTCCTAACGAATGTTTTGATCGAAACTGGTGATTATTTTCATCAAGTTCATTTCCTGGCGTATTTTTGATTGAAAACCGCATTAAAGACGGCAAAACAACTCAAATTCTTCTTAAAATTGCATTTTAGACTGTTTCTCTATCAAAAAAGTAAATTTTTTCGAAATTATTGTGAGATTGAATTATTTTCGCATTATCTGGAATAACTTCACTTCCAAATAAAAATATGGCTTGAAATACGCGTTTAACCATCAAATTCAAGCTTAAAACAATGGAAAAACCATTCCTAACGAATGTTTCGATCGAAACTGGTGATTATTTTCATCAAGTTCATTTCCTGGCGTATTTTTGATTGAAAACCGTATTAAAGACGGCAAAACAACTCAAATTCTTCTTAAAATTGCATTTTAGACTGTTTCTCTATCAAAAAAGTAAATTTTTCGAATTTATCGTGAGATAGAATTATTTTCGCATTATCTGGAATAACTTCACTTCCAAATGAAAATATGGCTTGAAATACGCGTTTAACCATCAAATTCAAGCTTAAAAACAATGGAAAAAACCATTCCTAACGAATGTTTCGATCGAAACTGGTGATTATTTTCATCAAGTTCATTTCCTGGCGTATTTTTGATTGAAAACCGTATTAAAGACGGCAAAACAACTCAAATTCTTCTTAAAATTGCATTTTAGACTGTTTCTCTATCAAAAAAGTAAATTTTTTCGAATTTATCGTGAGATAGAATTATTTTCGCATTATCTGGAATAACTTCACTTCCAAATGAAAATATGGCTTGAAATACGCGTTTAACCATCAAATTCAAGCATAAAACAATGGAAAAACCATTCCTAACGAATGTTTTGATCGAAACTGGTGATTATTTTCATCAAGTTCATTTCCTGGCGTATTTTTGATTGAAACCGCATTAAAGACGGCAAAACAACTCAAATTCTTCTTAAAATTGCACTTTAGACTGTGTCTCTATCAAAAAAGTAAATTTTTTCGAAATTATTGTGAGAAAGAATTATTTTCGCATTATCTGGAATAACTTCACTTCCAAATGAAAATATGGCTTGAAATACGCGTTTAACCATCAAATCCAAGCTTAAAACAATGGAAAAACCATTCCTAACGAATGTTTTGATCGAAACGTGATTATTTTTATCAAGTTCATTTCCTGGCGTATTTTTGATTGAAAACCGCATTAAAGACGGCATAACAACTCAAATTTTTCTTAAAATTGCATTTTAGACTGTTTCTCTATCAAAAAAGTAAATTTTTTCGAAATTATTGTGAGAAAGAATTATTTTCGAATTATCTGGAATAACTTCACTTCCAAATGAAAATATGGCTTGAAATACGCGTTT